TAAAATATTTATGTGTCATGTGCACAGTAATCCTAAGATATTATTTGATAATAATCATAATCTTTTCCGCATTTATAGTTGCGTTATTTCTTTTTTTAATTTAGAATGTTTAAGCTAGATTAAATTTTACTGAAATAGAAATAAAATTATATCAAATGATAATTTATTCTTTTATTATTCTTCTAATTTGCTATATAAACAATATATTAATGCTGTATTATTATCTAATCCGTGAAGAATAATTTCCAACTTTCCAATTATTTGTTTCTATCAGATCTATTGCAAGATTAATTGACAATTTTTCATGTCGTTGAACGATACGTGATATATATTGACAATATTAACGTATGCATACAAACGAGGTCGCTCGCCGACCTAGTTCTTATCTCACTTCTCAGCATTTAAATTGATTGTTCAAATCTTCTTGCGTATTCCTCGCGCACCTCGAGGTACAGCTTCAATCTTGTATATAGCAAACGTAATAAAAAGTTATACTTACCTCAAGTATCGAGAAGGAATCTGAGATATGGCGTGGCACCACGATGATGTCAATTCGAGAGGATCTGTCGATATGTCAATTCAATGATGTCTCGATGCGCGACTTGAAGCGTGACATCCTCGGAAATGAAGCACACGGCACTGCGAGCCGCGTCCTTTAAATTGCGTCGCGTAATCACCTTGCCGCTTCTCCAGTTGATCGGTCGCTGATAGTACCCGTGGTAAAAGCCACTCGTGACCACCTGACTTCTTTCCGCGCGAAGTGGCCAGAAAGCGCGAGTTTAAAGCTGATGTAGAGGTGCCGGAGCGTGCCCGTCAATGAGCCAGCTTTGTCACTTTATATAGCGTTTCAAAGGCCGTAGCGGATTGTGTGGCACGAGGTGGCGAAGCGTGCAAGGGACACTGGCTACGCGGATTCTACGTGCGGAAAAGAAGAGAGAGAGGAGTTCCCCCTCGTATACAATATTAATCCGACCGTAATTGACTGGTTCCCTGCCATTTTGTCTTATGTTCGCATTATGGATTTATTCGTATGTCCCCGCAAGCGTAAGGCACCTCACCAGAGGACAGAGGAG